TCTCTCTCTCTCTCTCTCTCTCTCTCTCTCTCTCTCTCTCTCTCTCTCTCTCTCTCTCTCTCTCTCTCTCTCTCGTCTTCTTCACCCACGTCTTCCTCCTCATCGACACATGCTCAGTCGAGCGGTGTATGGGGAGCCAAGGATCCGCAAAGTGAGGAAAAGGATGCGAATGGACACTGCATGGTCAGCAAAGCATCAACAAGCAATGTACATCCAGATACATATGAAAATAGCACAATGTAGCGCAGCGGAAGACTCAAAGATATGACCTGACGTGTCAGATACTGACGCGACACCCCATCATACACCACACATGTGAGAGAGAGAGGAGGGACCGCATACATAGACAAAAGGTCCCTCCTGGATCACGCACAGGGGGGGGGGATACGACGGATGAGGAGATGGGGGGGGAAAGGTGAGACGAAGATGGAGATCAGGGAGAAGACCAAGATCACAATAGCGAAGTCCAAAAATAGTCTCCCTGCCAAATGTCCAATCAATGACTGCCACAAAATGTTGAATCAGATCCTGGGCGTCACGGCCCGATGTAACCTCTGCCTGTAACCTCTCTCTCTCTCTCTCTCATAAAGAAGAAGAAGAAGAAGAAGAAGAAGAAGAAGAAGAAGCAGTCGAAGACGGAAGGAGGGAGAAGAGATGGAGGACGAGACGAAGAAGAAGAAGAAGATGTCGTCCTCCTCGCTGTCTCACCTGCAGGTAACTGCTGCCGTGCTCTCTCTGTGCAGGTCGCTGGCGAGAAGGCCAGCTATGGCGCCCTGGTAGGAGCTCCGCCGATGCAGGTAAGGTCTCCACCTCACTCCTTACCTACACCTCTACCTCTAACGCAGCACTGTCGCACTGCTCCAGCAGCGTGTCACCCAAGAAGTGAGCTACTCGAACTGTATGGCCCAGCTAAAAGTACCGCTGGGCCTCGCGGGTGTGCCTCCGTGTGCCTCTGGTCCTAGCCTTAATACGGCCTGCCTGGGTCCCTACCGGACGTCCAGGCCCTCCCTGCTGATGCAGCAGAGGGCGTCCACTACCGGACGAAAGTGGACCTGGCCTGAAACGGTCTGCTTGCGCCGGTACCAGGCCAAAAGTGTGGCCTTTGTACGAACTTCACGACCGAAACAACGCCTGAACAGACAAAAATAGGGCAGCAAATAAATAAATGAATGCTGCCTCAAATCAAAACCGGCGGCCCTAAGGCCGGACGTGGGCCTCCAGGGGCGCGTCTGAGGGGCGTGCGGCCTGGGGGCCCTCAGCAACCGTCGGGCCCCCAAAACGGGGCCTGTGTGCAGGCTCAGCACGTAACACCCCCCCCTCCTGATGAAGTCAAGTCGGGTCGAGGGCGAAGCTGACGATCTGATGGTGGAACCTGGACACGAGTACGGCGTGAAGCCGAAGGTGCCGGCTTGCCTTGCTGTTTGCGCTCGTAACTTGCGAGGACATCGAGGGCATGCGTCAACCAACGGTCAGCCTTATGGCTACAATAAGAAAAATGTTTGCAGCCCATCAGGGGTGTGTTTCCCCCCCCTGAGACATTTCCCCCCGAGACATTTTCGTCGCGCTTCGTTATACCGGTTGTCGATTCGGGCTCATTTGGTTGTTGGAAGGTTCGAAAAATGCAGGCAGGTGCAGGCACGACACTTTGTGGGGGGGTGGCAGTTTCTTTGAAAAATGCGGGACCGGTAGCTGCCCGTGGGACCGCGTGCAGGGTTTTGGTTGAAACGGTGGCAAAGCAGCGGCAGGGTGGATCTTTGGGGGCTGGTGGCAGTTTCTTTGAAAAATGCAGGACCGGTAGCTGCCCGTGGGACCGGGCGCTGGGTTTTGGTCGAAACGGTGGCAAAGCAGCGGCAGGGTGGAAAAGTGGAAAAGTCTGAATCGGAAAGAGTGCGGCCTTGGCCCCGGGTTGAAACGACACACATGCATTGCATTTGCAAGTGCAAACAGATTTGTCTGAACGTGGACGTATTCAACGCCCCACACGTTCAGCGCCCGACTGAGTGAGTCACATGTGACAAAACAACTTTTATTTAATAAAAAAAAAACATACAACAACAAACACTCAAGCATACACATATACGACATATGGACCAAGATTCAAGGACCACCAGCCTCGACACCAACTATGAATCAAGGTATGCCAAATATCTAATGCATTAATACCATACACATTACCTAAATCCCACACATTCCAACACTAACAGATGTGATAAACACAAACACCCAAGTATCACACACACTAATCTTGACACATACACACAAATACTCCTTTTTTTTTTCATGCAACAACCACCCTACTTCTAAACCTCACCAATAAGGCCTCCTTTATCAATCAAGCATATACAAACTACGGGCTGCGCACCAGTGCCCTCACGGTAAGTCAGTACCGCTGCGAAATGATGTCGCCAACCTCCTGAAAACCTTCCATGGAGGGTGGGTCTTGCGATCGACGCCCGGGAAAGTCGTCGCATTCCACCGAAACGGAAAGAGCCAACTTCGAACAATGAAAGACCGGGTAGATGGGCTAGTTGGCGGGCACCTTAATGACAAATGATGGTCCTTCCCGTGCATCACCACTGGGGGCTACAATGCGCCAAGGCCTCGTCCATTTCGAAAGGAGCTTGCGAGAGATATCTTGTTCGAGGCTGAACTCCGCGGCGAAGACCCAAACGAGGTCACTGGTGCGGAACGGACAAGGAAGACGCTGACGATTGGCCTGACGGCTCATGCGTTGCTGCGTCTTCGGCATCTGGTCGCGTGCGTCGACAAGGAGCTCTTGCATCCGTCGAATGAAAATAAGGTGGTCGTTGCTCTCGGTCGTCTGTGGGATGATCGTGTCCAACTGCGATGTGACCGGTGAGCCATGCTCGAACTCAAAGGGCGACATTCCGATAGCTGGATGAATGGACGAGTTGTAAGCCAACTCGACGTTTGGCAGCCGCTCAACCCAATCCTTTCAGTCGGGACAGATGAGAGTGCGAAGAAGAACCTGTGCGGTTTGATGCGCCCTCTTCGTTTGGCCATCGGTTTGTGGGTGGTGAGATGAACTCGGCTTGAGAGATGAGCCCCATCGTTTGAGGAGCGCCAGCCAAAAGTCGGACATGAACCGAGTGTCGCGGTCGCAAACGATTTCCTTGGGGTAACCCTTGGTTCGAATC